CGGGGTGACCGGATCGTAGGCTGAGTTCATACACAGGGAATGAACAGGGACTCCTGGGCTCTTGGAGCTGGCAGAGAGAGGGCTGACCCGATCCGACGCCCGGTGCTGAATCCAGACACATTCAGATGTGCAGAAGGAGCAGGCTTGGAACAGCGAGAGCAGTTAACCGCAGGGACCATTTGCCAGGCGGGGGGAGTCTCTTTAAATCGGGGCGGGCTGTTTTTCTAATCTCGGGGATCTGCTCTGGGAAGGATTTTGAGGCAGGTCTCTGGCCAGATGATCTCGGTGCTCCCTAGAGGGGAAGAGAAGACGGGCACGTGAAGAAGTAGCCCGTGAAACCCGACCCACCCAGCCTGGGGGCGAGAGGGGGCAGAACGCTGTTGCTGGGGGGTCGCAGAGCGGGAGTACGCTCTTGCCCCCTCCTTCTGAAGTGAAGTGCCTCCATCCAGTCCTCAGCCAGCCAGCCCCAGGCGCTGCAGCGACTAGGAAGTCGCGTGGCTGAGAGGCGGGGGTCCTGCCCCCCACCACCTGGCTAGGCAGTGCCTCCTCTCGTGGCAAGCACCGTCGCTGATCTGGGGGGCCTTGTGTTTGCAGCTGGAGGACTGTACGCTGCAGCTCTCGCCGTCGGGACAATACTTGGATCTTGACCTGTCCCTGCTGGAGCAGAAGGATGAGCTGGAAGGATTCTACGAGGAGATCAGGTGCGCTGCTGCTGTCGCGTGCATACCTGTCTGAGCCCCGTCACTCAGCAGGCTGCCCAGCCAGGCGCTGTGACCCGGCCTGCCCCACTTCCACCTTCTGCAGGTGCCCCAGTTACAGAAAGCATCAGCCATTGTGTCCGTTACTCTCACTGAAATTGCCATCCCCATCTCAGTATTGGGTCAGTGCCAGGGAAACCGAGGCGCACACAGGGTTACTGGGGGGCAGTAGACATCACTTGCGATGTTGCAGAGCAGACCGAGTGAATCAGTCCCCCTTGCATCCCTTTGTCACACCCACGTGCTCCGCTGCTGTGTAACACGTGGCACGAGGCTCTGGTGCCCGTTGCTGGATGGAGCAGACAGGCCAGAGGCCCGCAGGGGCGCAAGAACGCCTGCCGAGGCGCACACAGGGTTACTGGGGGGCAGTAGACATCACTTGCGATGTTGCAGAGCAGACCGAGTGAATCAGTCCCCCTTGCATCCCTTTGTCACACCCACGTGCTCCGCTGCTGTGTAACACGTGGCACGAGGCTCTGGTGCCCGTTGCTGGATGGAGCAGACAGGCCAGAGGCCCGCAGGGGCGCAAGAACGCCTGACACCGAGTCGGTCGGGGAGCCGCTCCATTGGCAGCTGCTTCCCC